CTTTTTAAAAAGCGTCCATCAGATAGTAAAACTCCAGGGTGAAAGTTTGATGATGAATAGGATATTTGCCATCCTCAAAATATCTACCTACAACATATTTATTAATTACAAAAGGGCGAAAAGTAATGGAGAAACCTGGCAGACCCAATCCCAATCAAAAGATCACTTAACATCCTCAGGAATGACACCCATGCCCCCCTCCACCATGATGCAGCAAGAGCACACAGAATTGCTTTCAGGATATTCGTGTCCAAAATGCAGAGCCTCAGTCAGATAAACCCATACTGAGAGTTATTCTACAAAATAACTGGCCTGTGTCTTTCAAAAACGTCAAGGCCATAAAAGAACGAACCTCCCTCCCTCAAATGTCCATCAGTAAGTGACTGAATTAAATGTGATCTATACATAGAATGGACTATTGCCCAGCAATGAAAAAGAATGAACTAGTCTCTGTAGATCAATATGGAAAGATCTCAGAAACCTTGTTCTTGTGGTAAAAAACATGGCCAGTGAAAAACTCTACTGAGACTCCCTTTATCCTACCTATCAGTTTAGAAGAAAATCAGCTTTAGTAGAACATTCAAAGTTTGATGCTCTACTATGTCGACCAAATGATGGGGAAATAAGTCACTCATACATTGCTGGTGGGGGCCACATGGATACAACCCCTGTAGCATTATAACTATCAAAATTATAAATCCAAATGCTCCTTGACCCAACAATCCTTCTTCTGGAATCCAACAGTATACCATTCTACTATGTATATTGTTTTTCACTGTAGAATTGTCATTAAAAAGCGAAACAAAAACAAAATGGAGACAATGCAAGCTTTCCTCATGGGGGTCTGCCCACCAATATCTCCTTCCCCAGCCCACATTTAGTAAGGGAAGGAAAGGGAAAGAAACTTCAGGAGCCAATAACTCATCTGCCAGTCTCTCCCCAGCTTCCCTCCACCAATTTTCTTGTTCTCTTGTATAGGAGGGGGCATGCGGGGGAAGGCTGGTGCAGAAGTAAGAGCCCCAGGCTAAGGATCAACTTTCACCCTCTGCTTGCTGATGAACTTCAAGCTAGCCCGGTCCCTTTTTGGGCCTCTCAGCAGGAAGGATAGAGCAATAATGCATGCCTGCCACCTCCCAACCCACTCATCCCCAAATTATTTATAAAATATAGTACACACATGGATATATTTATTAGAATAAGCTCTCAGAGGATCCCCATAGGATTTTGGATCAGGAAACAATGACCAACGGTTAGGGTTAGGGTCCTCCTCATCTGAGAGAGTGGAGCTGGGCTGAACTGAGATAATCACACAGGTTGGGTGCAGGCAAGGAAGGTGTCCAGGTGTCAGCAGTGGGAACAGCTTAGTTAAGGAGCCAGAGTGGCAGCATCTGGGTCAAGTTGAGCAGGAGGGGTCCAATCCCCTGGGGTGTGGACCCAGAAGTGGGGTTCTCAGCGTAAAATCTCGCCACCTCCTCATTGGGGTTGCCCTGGAAGGGGTCAAACCACATCTGGATGCAGCGGCCGCTGCCCCGGCCATAGTTGCTGACCTTGAAGGAGTGACTCCAGATTTCATTGCACAGATCAGCAGGCGTGGGGAAGTAGAAGTCAAAGCGGTGGCAGGCAGCTTTCACCGGGCACTGGTTATACCCTGAGGGGAGGATGGAAGACCTGTAGCCACTGCTTCCAGAACCATCTCTTGCTCCACCAGCCCCACAATCGCAAATCTCCATAAACCCTTCCACATCCCCACTTCCCCCTACCTCCCCGCCCCCAGTCCTCACCTGAGGTCCAGTTCCAGCCCCTGTGCCAGTTGCTTTTGCAAGTGTAGGAGGTGCGGCAGTCTTCCCACCAGATCTGACAGTCCTCTTTGCACAGGGGCACACCCAGGACCCGCTCCCTGCGCCAACTCTGGTTAACCTGGAGGGGTCGGGGGAGGGAGGGAGCCAGTCTGTCAGGGATCTCAGCTGCTATAGCCTTGATGGGGTCCAGGGCTGGGGAGGTGGGGGTAATGCCTCTGTCATCCTCAGACCAGAATTTGTGAACACACCCTCCCTGCAAGTGACCAGTGGACTCTGCCCTCTGCTGAAGCATCTGTCTGAGGGGCTGGTGCCCATACCTCCCGGATCCAGGGCCCCAGATTAGGTGAGCACTCATAGAGACAGGTGTCCTGAATAAAGTGGCGCTTGCATGCAGGCTCCATCTTGCCACAGTGGTCCCAGTTGAATCTGTACAGGTAGGAAATGTCCTTATGGGCTTCTATGCTGGTGTTGACAGAGCAGCAGGCATTCTTCCTCCAGGGGCTGCACTGTGGGTGGTGGGGAAAGACACGGGGCTAAGTTCTTGAGCCACTGTGGCCATCTCCTCTATATTCTGGCTCCTCTGCCTCGGGTAGATCATCCAGAGGCTCACTCGCTGGGGAGGTTGCCCCTAAGCCTGGACTTGAGAGCCCTCATTTTGGGTTAGAGGCAGTAATAATACTGACTTCTAACAGAAAGTAACACAGGGGACGTGGGAGATTTGGGGAATCATCATCTGGGGGGACATTATTATTTGTACATCTCTAAACTGTTCACAAAGTTATTTCACGTTATCTGGGTTATTTATATTATTCATTTTGTACCGAACTGGTATTAACTGAATGCAGGCACTATGCTGGCTGCTGAGTATACTGTAATGAACAAAATAGATCAAATCTCTGCCCTCCTTGAGCTTATGGTTTTAGTGAAGGGCAGGGAGGGGGGATATGGAGAACACTGGGGGCACAGAAAATAGTAGATGCAAAGTCCCTGAGATTTTTGCACTTTATCTTCTCTTACTGAAGATAATGGTCCAAGTCGAAAGACCATTACTCCTGTTTTACAGAGTTGAAAGAAGCTGCACCCTTTGTGGATGGTAAGGTTAAGGTTTTAACTCAGGACAGAGAGGAGAGGGGGAATCCTGGCCTCAGGTTGTGGTGGGGGGTGGAGGGAAAGGGGGCTGGTCTGGCTCTTTCAGGGTCTGGAAGCCCAGGAGAGGGAACTCCTGGTAGGTCTTGAAAGAAGACGGGCGCAGAGTGGCAGTGACCCACACATGGCCCAGACATGGGCCATGGGACTAGATGTGGGAAGCAGTCCTGGAGAGGTAAATTCAAGGCAGGCAAGATTGTAGAAGGGGCTTCCCAAGTGGTGGCTAGTGGGAAAGAACCCCCCTGCCAATGCAGGAGATGTAAGAGACACAGGTTCAGTCCCTGAGTTGGGAAGATCCCCTGGAGGAGGGCATAGCAACCCACTCCAGTATTCTTGCCTGGAGAATCCCATGGACACAGGAGCCTGGTGGGCTACAGTTCAATGGGTCGCACAGAGTTGGACATGACTGAAGTGACTTAGCACACATGTACAAGACGGTAGAAGTGATTGTGGCTTCCCTTCAGGAATTGCTGTGGGCCGGGAGTCAGGAACTGAGTGATCATGAGCCAAATTGCTTAAAATGTCTGAGATGAACTCTAGCGCCCAGGCTCAAGTGAGGGGGGAAGCTGTGACAGGTCCGGACACTCAGGAGAAACTAAGGAAAGTCCTTGACGGCGGAGCCAAACCAATCCCTCTCCAATAACCCAGTCCATGCCCAGGGCTGCTGCCGCAGAGCCTGCTTCCAGACTTCCCTAGGTTTTTGTGCATACCATTCCTCAGATGCCAAACTCTTGGTCAACTTGCAAGACCCCATCTACTGCATCCCTGAACTGCCAGCCAGGGTCAGTGGTTTCCTCCTCTGAAAGGATTAATACATGTAATGAAAAACACCTCCTGGCCCATTTCGGAGAGGCTCCAGAAAACCAGCCACTCCCACATAGCCTACACCCCTCTGAATTGCAGTCACCTGTCTTCCTCAAAGATCTGCAACACCATTTCTTGGCAAAGAGCAAGTGCTACTAAACGTTCTTTAAAGCCCCCTTTAAAACTTAAAAAATTCTAAAAATGCAGTGGTGCATATGGACTTTCAGTTTTGGAAGATGAAAACATTCTGGAGGTGGATGGTGGTGATGGTGGTGATGTTCACATGTGAATCTACCTAATGCCACAGCATTGCATGCTTAGAAATGCTTAAATGGAAAATTTTATGTTATGGGTATTTTACTAGCAAATGAACTGTTGGAAATGACTCAGAAGTCATGGGCAGCTGAACTTCCCTCTCTTCACTTGAAGACCCTGGAGACAGTTCATGCCAGCCTTTCCCTGGGGACACTGCAGCTCCCAGCAGTGTGAAGGCTTGTAGGGAGCCGAGGGAGAGACCCGAGGGAATAAGATACTGGCATTTCCCATGAGCCTGGAGTTCAACTTCAAGCTCAGAGCCCCTGAGCTGCTTTAGGGACCTTCCCTATGAGGCTGGCCTCACCTCCCCTTCTCTGCGGGCAGCAGCATTCTTGGCTCTGGCCACACTAGACTTGGCACCACTCATGCTGTCACCCTCCAACCTGTGTACACACCGTCCTCTGCTAGGCTGCCTTTTCCTGCTTTGTCTTCCTGGAAAACTGTTACTCAACCTCCAAGGCCAAGCCAATGGCCTCTTTACTTGGAAGTCTTCCCGGCATATCTGATTTGCCACTTTCTCGTCATGGTGACCACGAGGGACCTGTCTTTCCTACCTTGACTTTGAGCTCCATGGGCTGGCACATAATGAAGGTTGGGAAAGTTACCACCAGTCCCTCTCCTGGCTGGATTCTTAGTTCGCATGTCTACCTGTGCCTTCTCTGGGCCTATTTCCTCATTTGTATAAATAAAGACCACCTACCACCTGCCAAGTAAGTATTCACTGACAAAGTGTGAGGAAAACACTTGACCCATAGAGGGCGCTAGATAAACAGTCCTCCCCGTGTTGTAGTGACCTCCTAGGAGAGGTCCACCAGGATCACCTCCCTGCCAACCTCCTGCCTCCATCACTCCCAAAGCTGATCTTCCCATCACCCTAACTTCTCCCTTTTTGGGGGTCAGCCCTCTCCCCTACCCCAGACCCCACCCCATCCTCACCTGCTCGTGTAGACTGTCCTCAGGGCCCGGTTCCGCCTTGTGGTGCTTGGCATCCATGCAGACGTTGAGCAGGTTCGTCCTGGCCCGTGGAGTCCCAGGGACCTGGGCACCCCATGCAGCGGCCACCAAAACCAGAAGCAGCAACTGTGTCATCTGCCAGGCCATGACCACCCACTCCTGCCAGGAAGCCACTATAAGACTCTTGGTCAGATATCCTGTCTCCCTCCCAAACCCAGATCTTCTGGCCTCCTCACCTGGCTTACCCCACTTCACCGATGAGCTGAGCGATGAAAGGCCTGTAGAGGTCTGGACCAAGTGGTAGGAATCCACCCCCACCTGAGGACATTTCAATACTAGCTCTGTGACGTGCACGGAGGGAGCCACCACCCCTCTCTAGACATCCCCTTCCGGTTTTGCAAGACGGTATTTCACCCACAATCAGAGGGTCCTGCCTTAGAGGAACCATGGGGCTTAATTTGCTGATGGGGTTGGCGAGTGAGAGGAGGGGCGCCAGCCAGCCTCTGCTTCTACTTCCTCAGCCCATCCCAACTAGCCTGAAGCAAGCTAAGTTTAGGAGCCAAGAAATTGCCAGCAGAGTAAACAGGGAAGCTGACCAGTGGCCAGATAAAGGCCACTGAGCCATTCAGTTCTTGCTTAAGGTTCTGGAGCCTGTGCCAAGGGAGCTGGGAGTAGCGGGCAGGCTATATGGAAAGCTGGGCTGTGCTGCGCTTAGTTGCTCAGTCATGTCCAATTCTTTGCACCCTATGGACTGTAGCCCTCCAGGCTCCTCTGTCCATGGGGATTCTCTAGGCGAGAATAGTGGAGTGGGTTGCCTAATCCTTCTCCAGGAAATCTTCCTGACCCAGAGATGGAACCGGGGTCTCCTGCATGGCAGGCGGATTCTTTACCAATTGAGCTACCAGGGAAGCCCTAGTAAGAGCTAAACCTCAGGTCCTTACACCTCAACAACCCTCTGCAACCCCCACTGAGAGGTCTTGGGAAGTTCCCTGGGCAGAGTCAGGACTAGACCTTGGGGAAGGCCAAGAAGTAAGGAGAATGTGGAGGAGAAACTGAGCCAGAGCAGTGGGTGGTGGAGGTACCAGAGGAAAAGTCCTCCCAGGATGCCAGGGGAGCCCCCACCTTGCCTCTCACCTCCTACCTCCCATCTCTACTTTTCCTCCCTGTCCTGCCTTTACCTCTGCCCTCAGCCTACCTGGGATAGGAGAGTGTCTCCCCTCTCTTTTATAAGCCTGTGCTGACTGCTTGGTCAGCCGCTCAGTCAGAGAAGTCTGGAGGCTTTGTCTAGGAAACAGCTCAATTGTCTTTCAGTTCAGAGCTAGTTAAATTATGGTATACACACCCAATGGGATTAAACCTGTTGAAAAAGATTGAGAGAACTCTTGACGTATGAATATGGAAAACTTTCCAAGTACATTGTTAAGTAACAGAAGAAAGGTGTATACACTTACGGTCAATTAAACTATAACAAAGGAGTCAAGAGTATACAGTGGAGAAGAGACAGTCTCTTCAATAAGTGGTGCTGGGAAAACTGGACACCTACATGTAAAGGAATGAACCCAGGACGTTCTCTAACACCATATACAAAAAGAAACTCAAAATGGATTAAAGACCTAAATGTAGACTGGAAATCATAAAACTCCTAGAAGAAAATGTAGGTTTAGCACTCTTGGACATAAATCACAGTAATATTTTTTTGGCTCTATCTCCTAAAGCAAAAGAAATAAAAGCAAAAATAAACAAATCAGACCTAATTAAATTTAAAAGTGTTTGCACAGCAAAGGAAACCATCAACAAAATGAAAAGACAACCTACTGAGGGAATTCCCTGGCTGTCCAGTGGTTAGGACTCCTTGCTTCCATTACAGAGGACATGGGTTTGACCCCTGGTCAGGGAACTAAGATCCTGCAAGCTATGCAGTGCAGCCAAAACAAAGAAAGAAATGAAACCCAACCTACTGAATGATAGGAAATATTTGTGAATGATATAACTGATAAGAGTTTAATATCTAAAATATAAAAACAGCTCCTACAACTGAACAGCAAAAATACAAAAAAAAAAAAACCAATTTAAAATGGGCAAGACCTCAATAGTTATTTTTCCAAAGAAAACTTGCAGATGGCCAACAGGCACATGATACTCAACATCACTAATCATCAGAAAAATGCAAATCAAAGCCACAATGAGATATCACCTCACCCCTGAAATATACATCAGAATGGCTATTACCAGAAAGAACACAAATAACAAACATGGGCAAGGATGTGGAGAAAAGTGAACCTGCGTACATTGCTGGTGGGAATATAAATTGGTGAAGCCACTGTGGAAAACAGCATGGAAGATTCTCAAAAAAACTAAAAAATAGAACTATCACATGACCCAGAAATTCCACTACTGGATGTATACCGGAGAAAACAAAAACACTAATTCAAAAGATACAGGCAGGGACTTCCCTGGTGGTCCAGTGGCTGAGACTCTGCGCTCCTGGTATAGGAGTTGGGGTGGGGCATGGGTTTGCTCCCCGAGAGCTGGATCCCACATGCTGCAATTGGAGCATTCACATGCCTAAAGATTCTGAGTTCAGCCAAATAAATGAATAAATATTTTTTAAATGCTTTAAAAAACTAATAGAGAGAGACACATGTGGACTTCCCCACCAGTCAGTGATTAAGACTCTGCCTTCCACTGCAGGGGGCTCCGGTTCCATGCCTGGTCAGGGAACTAAGGCCTCATATCCCACATGCCTCAGGGCATGACCAAAAAAAAAAGTTAAAAAAAAATAAAAAATACAACAAACTAGTGAATATAACAAAAAAGAAATAGACTCACAGATATAGGGAGCAAACTAGTGTTAACCAATGGAGAGAGAGAAGGGAGAAGGAACAATATTGGGATGGGGACTAAGAGGTACAAGTTATGATGTATAAAACAAGCTTTGAGGATGTATTGCACAGCATAGGAAATATCAGCAATATTTTGTAACAGCTGTAAATGGCATGCGTGCTTGCTTGTGTGTATCTTAGCTGCTTCACTTGTGTCCGACGCTCTGTGACCCCATGGACATGGCCTGCCAGACTCCTCTGTCCATGGGATTCTCCGGGCAAGAGCCCCGGAGTGGGTTGCCATTTCCTTCTCCAATAAATGGCGTATAACTTTTAAAAACTGTAAATCACCATATTGTACACCCATAACATATAATATTGTATATCAATGATATTTCAATTGTTTAAAAAAGAAGAAGGTGCAGAAGGGCAACATGCATCCTTTGTGTAAAAAGTTGGACAGAGAATATCTGCGTTTGCAAATTCTGGAGGGAATTCCCTGGCGATCTTGCAAAACCTTGCAGCACAGCCAAAGCAAAAAGTGAAGTAAGAAAGAAAGGAAGGAAGGGAGGGAATAGGCGGAGGGAGGGGGGCAGAAAGAGAAAAAGAAAGAAGGAAGGAAAAGAGGGAAAGAGAATTCTGGAATGCTACCAAAAAAATTTTAAGTGGTTGCTTGTGGGAAGGACTTTGGCTTAGTGATTGGCTTAGAGTCTTTCCTCTATGAAACTTTCTGTGCTGTTTTGATTTTTGAACCATGTGAATATACATATACCTTTTTGAAATATACATGTTTTTATGTATACTTATATATGAATTTATATATAAATAAAATATAAATGTAAATAAATATATAAAGTTTATAGATATATACTTATTTATATCAGTTTTGGATATTATACATATATTTACAAAAATATAAACATGAGACTACCAAGCATCTTAGTTCCTTGGGTATAATGCGAGAAAAATTCTTTGCATTTATGCCACATAGATTCCACTTTTATGCACAATAGTATGTTTTCCATTTTCAGATATTTTCACTATATGTGTTAGTTGCTCAGTCATATCTGACTCTTTGTGACCCCATGGACAGTAGCTCACTAGGTTCCTCTGTCCATAGCATTCTTCAGGCAAGAATACTGGAATGGGTTGTCATTCCCTTCAGCTTTTGACAAAGAAAAACACCCTCATGAAACCAAGCCATCCACACTTACACACTACAATATTATTGTCTCATTTAGTAACATAAACTTCAAATTACTTTTCTGTAACTCAAATGCCCTCTGTGGCCAAAAAAAAAAAAAATCCTTTCATTAATCATTATACTCATCCCTCATACTCATGTCTATTGAGTCAGTGATGCCATCCAACCATCTTGCCCTCCATCATCCCCTTCTCCTCCTGCCTTCAATCTTTCCCAGCATCAGGGTCTTTTCAAATGAGTCAGCTCTTTGCATCAGGTGGCCAAAGTTTTGGAACTTCAGCTTCAGCATCAGTCCTTCCAAAGAATAGTCAGGATTGATTTTCTTTAGGATTGACTGGTTTGATCTCCTTGCCGTCCAAGGGACTCCCAAGAGTCTTCTCCAACACCACAGTTCAAAAGCATCAATTCTTCGGTGCTCAGCTTTCTTTATAGTTCACCTCTCACATCCATACATGACTACTAGAAAAAACCATAGCTTTGACTAGATGGACCTTTGTTGGCAAAGTAATGTCTCTACTTTTTAACATGCTGTCTAGGTTGGTCATAGCTTTTCTTCCAAGGAATAAGTGTCTTTTAATTTCATGGCTGCCGTCACCATCTGCAGTGATTTTGGAGCCCCCCAAGATAAAGTCCATCACTGCTTCCATTGTTTCCCCATCTATTTGCCATGAAGTGATGGGACCAGATGCCATGATCTTAGTTTTTGAATGTTGAGTTTTAAGCCAGCTTTTTCACTCTCCTCTTTCACCCTCATCAAGAGGCTCTTTAGTTCTTCTTCACTTTCTGCCATAACGGTGGTGTCATCTGCATATCTGAGGTTATTGATATTTCTCCCGGGAACCCTGATTCCAGCTTGTGCTTCTTCCAGCCCAGTGTTTCTCATGATGTACTCTGCATATAAGTTAAAAGACAATATACAACCTTGACATACTCCTTTCCCTATTTGGAAGCAGTCTGTTGTTACATGTCCAGTTCTAACAGTTGCTTCTTGACCTGCATACAGATTTCTCAGGAGGCAGGTAAGGTGGTCTGGTATTCCCATCTCTTTAAGAAATTTCCACAATTAGTTCTGCTAAGTTTTGCCAAATAATACAAATAAGGGAAATATGATACTTTAGAAA